TTTGCTATTTAATGTATTTATACTGCCTTTACGTATATCTGTCTTTTTATTGTTGTTTTCTATCTAAAATTTTGATCTTCCTATCTTTTGTATGACTTGATTTTTTTCATATTGAAGTAGTTCATGCAAAATGAATAGTTACACAAGTTGAGTTCCTAAAAAATGTTCCCACCCGTGTAGAAGATTTCAAAGTACCTGGTCATTTCTTTAAAAGTGAAATATGAGTATGATTGAAGAGGTTTATCGGAAGAAAGCAATAACTCCCAAAAGTTTTGTTTTACTATAATATTAGTATGTCGCCTGCCTAGTTATGGACATGCACTTGGTTCCATAGGGCATTGTTGCTTTCCAGAGTTATAATCTGTCAAAGTAAGTGAAAATTTCGATTTTCAGTGTTTTTCCACCCTAAAATCTTGGTTAAAAAACAGGACAAGAGTAATTTCTTTATTGAATATAAAAATTCACTATTAGGACAAGCTCTGTAATCCAGTACTTTCCTGAGTTATCGATGATTTTAGTAGATATATTCATTCAAACTAACAAAAAATGCAAAACTAATTTTTTTTTACTTAGATTTTTTCAAAATGGCATCGTCTCTCAAAAAAAAAACTAATTGTAATATCTTGTAGATAAATGTCTCTATTAACACGTGGAAAAGAAAAACAAATGAATAAATGCAGTGTTAAAAATAACATTACTCCTCCGTTAGAGACAGTAACGATTGATATTCTCCTTCAAAATATGCTAAAATAAAGAGGTTTTATAAGAATTTTATCTGTAATTAAAAGATATAATTAAGGAAGGAGAACACTGAGGCGTTTGTTTGTTTGTTAACCTCCAAGTCACTGATTTTGTTCTAAATTATATCCTCAAGATACAGTTTGTTATTAAATTAATAGTTCGAAGCCAACGAAAACATTATCACACATTACCTTAAATATTTGAAAAAGTTATATAATATTTCTGACGTGCACAACCTTTATTGACAGTGTAAAAGGATATAAACTTTTTTCAAGTGAATATCAGAGATTCAAGCTCTACGAGTTACTTGATTAAGTTGCTTGATTGAATTATAAACTACTTGGTTAAATAATGTAATAAATAATGATACGTGTATAATGATGATGTATGTAAATTTTGAAAATTTCAGTAATAAAACTTCATGTGAATATTTTTTAATGATTCTTGCAAGAAGATATTTTATTTTATTTTATAACCGTCGTTGAACAGCCGACCCAATTTCATGGGTTTACGACTACTTACGTTCAACTCCGTAGCCTTGTAATTTTGAACCAATCCAGAAGACAAGGAAACTCCTGGATCAGTACCCCCAGAGGTATTGATTTGTTGTGGGAACATGGAGGACTTTGAGACTCGACAGATTTAACGTGCATCAGTCACCATTTAATACACGGGGAGTCTTCGGCCGGCGAGGATCGAACCCACGACCTCTTGGATATGGGCAAGAAGATATTGAGATATTTTTAGCCAACCAAATGAATTTTTGCATGGCCTATTTAAATTTCAAAAAGCAGCAAGACAGCAAGATCCAAAATTCCGCATGTGCAAATATTTAGTACTAAAGATTGACAGATAAAGTGCAGCATTGCACGCTAAATTTGAAGTAGGGATAAAAAAAGATCTTTCAACTAGGTAAAATACAAAAGTTCATCAAAGAAGTACTATTTTCTTTTTTTGAAGAAGAAGAAGAAACAAAAGTAAATGTTTCCAGAATTATGATATGTATATTTAGTAATGTATACGTTGTCAGTTTCATTAAATCTAATTTACCATTTGTTTATAACATCCTGAAGAAATAGCTGATATACGAAGCAGCGATGTGAAGGAAAAGTGCATTAGAATTGAGCAACAAACGAAATGATTTTAATACCTGAAGATGATTACGGAAAAACGAAAGAAGAATTTTTGTGTGAAAAAAAAATGCCTCTTTACTGTTAAATATTGGTTTTTTAGACTCTCGAAATTTTCTTTTAAGACTGTAACTGAGCTACAAGAAAAAATTAGTAAATAATAACCAATAGATAACATATTATATTTTATTTTTCATTTTTAACAGCACTTTATACAAATACATTACTAAGAAAACCATGCTTTTTTCAGTTTTTTATGGCCCAATACTTCGGCGTCTTTGTAATAATTATACAATTAATTTAAAATAGAATTCTTTTAGAATCTCTTTATTTTAACTTAATTTGAAAGACTAAGGTCCATCGTTATTGTCTCAAAAAGGAAAACAGATGTGATTTTTAAGAGATGTGAATTTTTTTCTTGAAGAAGGGGTAAGGTCTTATTGAGTTAGTTTTCTTTTCCACGTGTTAGTTGATACATTTACCTACAAGATGGTATAGTTAGTGTTTTTGAGGGACGATGCAGTTTTAAAGAAATGAAAAAATTCAGCCTAATGGAAAAATTTTTAGCCTCACCATGACTGCACAATTTTAACTACAGAAATGCAATTTGAACAAACATATACTTTAGACTTTAGAAAGTTAGCTTAATGTTTTAAAGTTGAGATAAATACTTAAATACTTTAAAGTTTCGGGAATGCAAAACTTTCCATTAAATAAGTTTTGAAATGTCGAATAATTTAAACGATTCATTCAATAGTTACGGAAACTATATGAAATTGGTATTCTACTAAACAAATAGAAATAAAATTCGTATGTCTATTTGGGTAATTCAGTAATATGCGTTAATAAATTTTACGCATGTAACAAAGATATTTTTTCTTCCCATGTGCAAAGTAAGATGCATTCAAAAATCTGATAAAAATGGGTTATGATCGATTTTATTACTATAGCAGCTAATGAATAACGATGTAGTAAGATATTGCATAGTTTTATTGAAGATAGTTCACATAATATATTGAAGATATATTGAAGAATAACATATTGGAGATAGCTCACATAATTAATTTTTATGATTAATAACGCACTCAATGTATGCCATGTTGAAATTTTAGCTTTAATCTAATAATATAAACAAATACAACAGTTACACGCAAGGTAAAAAAATCGACATATATATCAAATTTTGTATCACTAATATTAAAATAAAATCTTTCTTTTTTTTCGAAAAAGTATTTTTTAAGAAAAGAGATTTCACTTTAAAGATACATTTATTGACTAGTTAATAACTAGGTTATAGAAAACATTTGACATTGGTTATTTGCATGTTCAACAAATATGTATATTCATAAATTCTTCATACACAATATATACTTTACCTGAGGGATATATATTCACGCACTAAAAGAGTTGGAAAAAAATAAATTCTGCTTTCGTTTGCAATTCTAAAAAAACCCAGCCGATCGGAAACGTAACCTAAATTGAAAAATTCTCGCTGGAGCAGTTAAAAAAAAAGAAATTGAAGCAAAATTAAAAGAAAATCACTCGATCTCTCCTTTTCCTAGTTCCAAGCAAATTGGAGAACTGGTCTTTTAGCATTAGAAGAAAACTAAAAAGAAGAGAAAAAAAAAATAGCCAAAGGAGAAAAAACACCGTTCAATTACGTTTCAGGATCCTGGCCCAGAGCTTCTAGTAATTAGCTACGGTACGAAAAAGAAAACAATAAAGAAGAAGAAAAGTGAAGAACAAGAGAAAAATAATGGTGAGAAAAAAGAGAAAACTATAAGGGATTGCGGGTGCGTTTGTGGCCAGTCAGCAGAACCAACCGAACATCGGAATTCTTGTTTTCAAAGAAAATACCCATTTTTGATTTAGATTTTGCTTTCTTACATCCAATTTATCAAAAATAACAAAAAACATTAAAAAAAACAATAAAATTTATCAATGACTTCCATACTTTTTTCTTTTTAAATTCCCTAAGACCTAAGATTGGGAAACAAAGTCAATTAAACTTATTAAAACTGAGAAAAAAAATGGAATTTCTCTTTTAAAATACCTTCAATTTGAAATCATTCTTTCATATAAAAAGTATTGTGTGAATATAGTAGTTTTTATATGAAAAATAAATGAGCGCTAAATACTTTATCGGTTAAGGAATAATAAATACATAAATTTATGCATAAAAATAGCCGCAAAACTACAAAACTCAAAATATATACATTAATAATTTCTTCCATATTATGTTTTTTTTTTAAATTCCATAAGACATAAAGCATTGGAAATGGAGAGAATGGGACAAATTATAAGAAAGTAGAGAATTATCATTTTCATTTGTATTTATTTGAGAATTAAAATTTCATTTTGAATTTTTTCATTTTGCCTTTTTTCCTCAACATTAAATGGTATTTGCTTTTGTTTCTTGAACACATTACAAATCTTCTGCGTTTCAGAGCGCAATACATTATCTTTGTTTAATGACGTAACATTTTGACTTCTGGCATTCTTTTATTTCACATGGCATTTAACAACAACGCTTAATTCTCATGCGCTATGCAGCCATTTCTGACCAGTGTCCAGCAATGTTTTTATATATATATATATATATATCATCTACAGAATAAGCAAATGAGTTACGTAATTTTTCTGGCACAAAAGCCATAACTTGGATGCACTTTGCTCAAAACTTGGCAAAAGTTATGAAACTTAGGTAATGTCAAAACCAAGAACAACTAACTTTCCAGAATAAGTTTTGCATGAAGATTAATATTTGTTTGCGTATGGATCAAAACTTTAACGAAAAATTCTTTATAGTTTTAAGGAAAATAAATATGACGCATTTCCCAAGATATCTCATTGCAAAAATGTAACTTTTGTGAACCCAAACGATTTCAACTGAACAACTATTATTATCACATTAACTAAATAAGAATTTACAAGTAAAGAACACGTGAATTTATTTCTAACAATTAAATGAAGCTGTAAATTAAATGCTTGTAAGCTAATATGGATTATAATCAATTCATAGACAAGTAACAAGAAAGGAAAAAATTAACTTAAACAATGATAAAAACAAAGTATATCATCAATATAAATGTTGCTGCAAATAAAGTTTTCCAATTATTTATGACTTACCTTAGGACTAACGATTTCATATATGCAACATACTATTAGAACTGTTAAAGCTTGTTCTTTACATAATAATCCTACACAAGCCAAAGCAGATGTGGCACCACAATCTTGCCAAACTAAAAACATAAACCATTTATTTTTAAAATATTGTAAATTATCACAAGTTAAATATCTTTTTATTTGACACAAGAGCAATAAAATAACATTTCAATGAACATCAAGTAATTAACTAGTCGAGAATAAAATGTAATAAAATAAAAGTTCGCAAAATTCAAAAAATTACAATCAAACCAAACACGTAAACAAATTAAAAATTAGAATTTTTTAATTAGATTCTTTAAATTGATTCTTCCAGTTCAGGTTAAATTCTAATATTTTTCAGTTAGATAATTAACTGAAAATTAATCGAAAATTATATATTTATGATTAAATTAGTTTTAAAAGAGAATATCTCCAGTTAGTTTTTTAATCATCTTTTTGATATGTTTTATTTTTAAGATATAATTTCTGACATTATTGAGAATTAATTTATATGTCTGAATAAGTTAATCATCTTTTTTTTTCAAAACGGGTCTTTTAATTATTAAATTAAACCTGAATATCTAGAAAAGGATGCATAAGATAAAATCATTTTTAATAACAATTACTATCGAATTTCTTTAATCAGATTATTTTTGAGCTAACCATTAATTTTTAGTAAGCTATCATGCCATTGGGGGTATCTTATAATTTTTAAAAAAAATATTTTTCAGATTAATTGCAAAGCGGGGAATGACTAAAGAGTGGAAGTTTGAATATGATAGTTTCTTTTTTACATTTTTACCTTTTTATCACTGATTTAGAAACAGAAAGTAGTTTGACTTCAAAGTTAAATACATCGTATCATCTTTCAAGAGAATTATTAAAATGATAAAAAGAAAGAAAATTGTTAAATATGTTTTCTTATTTTTACGAAAAAATATACTAAAAAAATAAAAAAACATAACATGCATTCATTGCATTCATTAAATTGACTCATTAATATAAGAATTATAATATATTCAAACTAACACACATTTAAATTGAGTTTTTAAATATATGAAAGATATTTTTCTAACATTACTACTAATACTTATTAATTAAAAGTATCTTATTTTTTAATTGTAATAAAAACCATATGCATAAGCAATCCTATTGCAAATAATATATACAAATAGTTAAGTAATTAGAAATATTACATAAATATGAACCAAAATTTTCATGTTATATTCTTTTTATTTTTAAATTAGTTTCTGTTCCATAGTTGAGTATCTATTTTACGCTACTTAATTTTATTGAATATTTCTAATAATATCAATTATTTAAGCAATTTTTGAAGTGAATATTTTACTACTAAAATCATACAATAATTTAATAATTATGTGCATAAATTAAAACGAAAATATTATGAACACAAATGTTTCAAGTAAAATTTAGTAACTTTAAATTCATGAAAGAAATTTGAAGAAATTAAAGAAATTAATCATGACAAAAAAATATAATATTTAATTTATATTTATGGTAAATAGAGCAAAATATTTATATTTATAGTAACAAAAAATAAATTCAAATAGTTCTGAAATAGTTTTTCAAAATAGAACCATTTGAGTGTAGAATTTATCAATGTCCATATTATCATGGACTATTTTTCTTAAAAAAAATAAATATTATTAGCTTAATTGAATCTAAAATGCTTAATAAATTCTTAAATAAGGTATGTTAATAAACTCTAACTTACCATTTGTTTTGTGTTGATATCTGGAATGAATATAATAAAGTAAGGCACACAGGAAGGCAGCTGCAGACAAAAGTTCGGCTCTACCTACCACCCCACTCACCTAAAAACAAAAAGAAATTTAATGAATTTGCAGCTGACAAATTATATTTAAAAACGGATTGAATCTCAAACAAATTTAATTCATATTTTCCGTAAGGTACACAAAACATGGGAAGAAAAAAACACTGTAGAATGTTCTGAAAATTCATTCTTCGTACTTCTTTTTTTTATGTCAAAGCATGTTACCTGAATGCGTTCAATTAATAGAACTTTTATTTTGAGCAGTATTTAACGATAAGATGATCAGTTGTATTAAACGCTATCTGTTTTGGTGATATAAAAGAAAATGAAGGATCTTATAAACAGAAGGATGTGCAGTTTGTCTCAGCAAATGAATTTATTAAAATAACTTTTCCAGCAAAAGCTCATTCCCAATATATATATATATATATATATATATATATATCGAATTAGAGATTATAAATGTTCAACAACGGAGTCTCTCCCGGAATGATTTTCAATGTTTAATGTTATTTTTTGGAAAATTGTTATTCAAAAGTGCAATGAATCAGTTTTGATTATATTGCGCAGTTTAACTATTCGGGATAAATAAGTTGTAAGTATTTACGAGATATACAACTTTTCATGTTCTTGCTCCAAATATATTTCGTAAAAAAATTACCAAACTAGGTGTTAATATAGATTTTATTTAAGGTCTGGTGTAAGTACAATCATAGTTTTATTAATAACAATTAATTAATAACAAAGTTATAAAATAAATACGAATTATGTAATATGTTTTAAATAAAACTTAATAACAGCTCATAAGAAAAGCGATTAGAAATATGAAAATGTTTCACGAGTTCGTCGAATCAATCGAGAACTTAAAATTTTAAGACTATTTTTTAATCTATTAATTGGTTTGAAACCTCTATAGTAGGAAAATAATACATTTTGCATCAAAAAAGCAACAAAGTGTAATAATACATTATAAAATTTACGTAATTGCAGATGATGGAGAAGTAGTGATGTAATTTTAAAGTAGGAACACATCTTTAATGAGTATATTGCTGCTACAAATTGCTTTAAGCAATTTGGAATAAAACAGTCGTATGCTCAATTTAATTCAGTATAAGTAGGCTTCTAATATGGCTTCGCACTAAAAGCCAAATGTTAGAATATAGCAAACTATATTCTAATATAATTCCTCCGGTAGCTTTAACGTGATTATATTATTTAAACTAATGTTTAATTGTACGTTTTATTACGAGACAATTATCGTTATCATATTTACAGACTCTAGACTATTAGTCTAAGTTTATTACTGTCATTAAATAGCACACTCACGCAGCAAACAGCAGATGGAATTATGAGTTTAATTTCAGACATACTACAACTTCTGAGATAGACTTTTTGTGTAAAAGTTATTCGCCTGTCTGGGTTACAATGTTAGAGAAAACTTTAAAATATCCTACAATTTGTAGGCTTATAGTTAGTTTTACTTCTTGCAAAAGATATTTTGGCTTTAATACATTTTACCTTTAAAAGAAATTCATATATACACTACCGGGCAAAAGTTTGCGAAAATTTTGAAATCTACCAAAAAAGGTCTAAGTTCAAATGTGCATAGAACTGCGAAAAATCATTCAAATTGCATGAAAATTTGGTATGTTCTAAAGTGAACCCTCTACAGTTAGTTACATATGATTAAATTGCAATACTTTGTTTTTTGCGAACTGAATCCAGCTTTTCATCATGGGTTGTTTTTATGGTGAAAAAAGTTGTTAAGTTTGAAAACTTGCCAAACTTGCAAAAGAATTTTTTTGTACTTTCTGTTAATAGAAAATAGTTATTTAAGCCGTTCTATGTAAGCCCTCAAAATTTCAGATCGATTTGATTTTTTTTTTGACAAAGTTATAGAATTTTGAAAACATGTGTATTTTTCTCGATTTTTGAGCATTCCACATATGCGGTCTTTTGGTCTACACATCTTCTACCAAAGAACTTTTTAATTTTAGTGCTTTCTATATTTTCAAATAATTAATATAGATTATAAAGCAAATATTCTTATTCATTATTGTAATTATTGTTATTACAAAGAATTTATTATAAATATAATGAAAACAATATCTCAGGGATGTCACATTTCATCGAAAATTTGTTTGTTCCTGCAAACGATGCTCTGATATTTCGAATCGAAATCAGTTATGGAACACTATATCACTTGAAGGGATTAATGGATGGTTAGAACGAAAGTCACGTATATGTAAGGCTATGATAAAAGCAAAAGGTGGATGGTTCGAGGAATCTAAGATTTAAATGTTAATTTATTTAATTACAAAATACGAATAAGAAAATGTTAAATATTTGACCTGTTGTAAATAAAATAGTTTAGTAAAAATGCAAATTTTTTATAATATTTTTGTTATTTTTTTAAAATTGTTTATGTAATTATTGTTATAACTTTTTATTTTAATTTAATGTAAAGTAAAAAGATCACAGCAAAACTAGTACATAAAAGCAATAAATATAGACAATAAATATAAACTATAATAATTTCAATTATGAATAAGAGTATTTGTTTTATAATAAATATTAATTATTTGAAAATATAGAAAACACTAAAATTAAAAAGCTCTTTGGTAGAAGATGTATAGACCAAAAGATCGCATATGTGGAATGCTCAAAAATCGAGAAAAGAACACATGTTTTTCAAAATTCTATAACTTCGTCAAAAAAAATCGAATCGATCTGAAATTTTGAGGGCTTACATATAACGGTTCAAATAACTATTTTCTATTAACAGAAAGTACGGAAATTTTTTTTGCAAGTTTGACAAGTGTTCAAACTTTAGAAATTTTTTCACCATAAAAACAATCCGTGATGAAAAGCTGGATTCAGTTCGCAAAAAACAAAGTATTGCAATTTGATCATATTGAAATCATATTGTTATGATCATTTTGATCATAACTAAATGTAAAGGGTTCACTTTAGAACATATCAAATTCTCATGCAGTTTGAATAATTTTTCGCAGTTCTATGAACATTTGAATTTAGACTTTTTCTTTGTAGATTTCAAAATTTTCGCAAACTTTTGACCGGTAGTGTATATATATNGAGTTTGTTCAAAATCTGCTATATATATATATTCGACAATTCTTACGATCTGTCCCGTGTCAGTTGGTTAACAAAATTTCCTGAATAAACGGGGGCATCAGAAGCTTACTAAGAACATTAATACAGACGAATACAGGCAAATTAATTAATTATTTTCATTTTTGTCGCATCCGTTCTACTCAATTCCCGAATACGGATTCTAGAGTAAGACCCTGACATAATCATTTCTCCATATACATGAGATAGATGTAGCTCATGTTTGCTCGATGTAGCGGTGGGCAGCTGTTAACCCATGCTATTTTTGACAAAGCACCATACCACTAAGTATTTGTCTTACATATCAAAGCAATTGTTCAAAAATGAATGAGTGGGTGGTAAAACATGGGTTAAATAATGAATTTAGGTTTAATTTTCAAATATCTGTGGGGTAAATTATAATCACTTAATTTGTTTTCAATGAAAATTACACTAAATATACAAAATAAGTAGTATGGAATTATTCGTTGATTTGATGAGATAATGTCAAAAAATTATATATCTTTCTATGGAAGTCCTATCATTACTGTTAAAGGTTGGGAATTAATCTCCAGAAGAAATCACTGCAGGAAAATTTACTTGTTTTGAGTACTTTAAGCCAAAACTCAAATAGTCACTTAGCTCAGATTGAACCAAACACTTTACAATAAATATTATGCATGATTTCAACACCATTCCAGTTCATAACATTTATACTATAAGCTCAAATTCTTACTTTAAATTTATTTTAATTACAGTGATTCAATGTGATAGACTATACGAAATTATAGCTTTAAACATTTTTTAAGGATGTGTATAAAATTTATTTAACCGTTAATATTTGGGACTATTGCATACATAGATAAATATCTACGAAATGTTTTCTGTCAGATATTGTGAGACTATTCGAGGGATTTAACTTGTATTGCTGACAAATTTACTTTCCACGTTAAAAGAGGGAAACTACTGCTCCAGTAAGTTATGAAAAGTTTTTGAAAGAGCATTGAAATTACGGTCAGAAATTCAGATCATTGCTTGCTTTACAGGTTAAAGCTAAGTTAACTATTTTTTTAACAGATTTTGGAGATAAGTAACACTCTGACTTTTATTTTAAAGTTAATTTTCACAAAACTATTTTAAAAGTAGCGAAATGGCAATAGCTTTTGTACAAAGTAATATCTTTTCTTTAGTGTTAGGATAAAAATATATTATTTTTATACAATGTTATTTTATCTGCAGAAACACTTATTTGCACTGTTAGAATTTTCATTCTAAAACGACGGTAAAATAACCGGTTGCAGTCTGTCCTTACAATTAACCGTAAAGCTAACAGTAAAGAACATCTTTACCTTTACGGGTTTGATACCGTTTACTACTAGAATGGTTAAAAAAAACCTGAATACAATACTATACAGTTTTTAAACTATTTAAAACCAGCATAGTATCAATACTGTAAATAAACAATTTTAAAGGACATGTTGCTGTCCTCTATGCGTAAATAATCAATTTAAGAGGGCATGTTGCTGTCATCTATGCGTAAATAAGCAATTTAAGAGGACATGTTGCTGTCCTTTATGCGTAAATAAAAATATGATATTCAAATTTTCCAGAGTTACAAATCGGGGAGTGCAGGACACTGGAAATTCTTCATGCGTTGAAGAGAATGGAGAAAATATTGTGGTCTCAACCCTGGGACATGAATCCCAGTTATGTCGGTCATAAGATTGATAGGTTAGCTCTCTTGTCTGTAATACGTACTCAGCTACAAACAGCTACAGGAACTAAATAGCTCCTTTATATGAGGTTAGTTGGTAAGATAAAATTCTGGTTGTTTTACCGTATTAGGGTGAAAGCATTAATAAACGGTTTTACTCTCAGTTGACAGTTTCAATACCATTTTATTAATAGTTATTTGACTTTTTTGCTTGT